TCCATCCCTCTGATCATTTTTGTGGCCCTCCTCTGGACCCAGTCCAGCAGGTCCCTGTCCTTCTTGTACTGAGGACCCCAGAGCTGGATGCAGTGCTTCAGGTGGGGTCTCACCAGAGCAGAGTAGAGGGGCAGAATCACCTCCCTCGACCTGCTGGCCATGCTTCTTTTGATGCAGCCCAGGATACGGTTGGCTCTCTGGGCTGCGAGGGCACATTGTTGGCTCATGTCCAGCTTTTCATCTACCACAATCCCCGAAGTCCTTCTCCTCAGGGCTGCTCTCAATCCCTTCATCCCCCAGCCTGTATTGATACTGGGGATTGCCCCAACCCAGGTGCAGGACCTTGCACTTGGCCTTGTTGAACCTCATGAGGTTCACATGAGCCCACTTCTTGAGCTTTTCCAGGTCCCTCTGAATGGCATTTCTTAACTAGGAGTTTCTTTAAAAAAGTCATTGCTTTTTGACTTGTGATATAAATAAGGCAGAAACCAATGAGCTGATTTGGACTGATAGTATCCAGAGTCCTTTCAGACGGGGAGAAAAGTATCATTTTCTTCATGCTCAGCAGTTTCTGATCTTCCTAAAATGGTACTTATCTGTTCCGTGTGCCAACAACACAGTATCAAATACTGAGTACTCCAAACTATTCACAATTGAATCAGAGGGGAAGGATCAATATCCTAAGAAAACTCTGAAGTTGGGAGCAAACTAGTTTCCTTCAGTTTGAATCCCATTGCTGTAGTGATCCACTTGTATAAGTACTAGATACAGTGCTGTTTATTAATACTGCTTGCATCTGGCCACTGCTATTAAGGCATTAACAAATAACAACGTTCAAAGATTTTTGAGCTGACACTAGAAAGTCCTGTTTTTCAGCCTAAAACTCAGTTCAACATTTGCTTGTTGTGAGGCTTCACAGCTCAAAATTTAGAGATACTTTCTGTAGAGCAGACTTGTTTGGCCAGAGGTATAATGAATTTCTTAGCACTCTTTTATGTTACCCATCCAAAGAAGATGAAATCTTGACAACACACAACACTACAAGTGAGTGAATTTCTCACACCAATTGGAAAATGAAGGTGGGGTGGGAGCTGAATGAAGCAGCTCTTCATACAGTATCAGTGTAAGGATTAGGCCAACCTTTTTTTCCTGTTGTGGTTTTACCAAACTACTGCTGAATGCATGCTGTTGCACATACACTTGCTCCCAGGAGTGACAGTGAAACTGAGAACGATGGCCTAATTCCTTGTTTTAAAACAAAGTTAGTGATAGCAAGATGTATAATGTTGAAAACCATTGGCTGAAAAGCAGTTGTTCATAAGCTTCCTTACATGGTTTCAGCAAATGTGCTTAAAACTTTATCTGAATATAAGACTTCTATAGATGAGTTGGCAATTTGGTCTCCATTCAGATTGTAGGATTAAGTGGAGCAATGAATGAGCATATCAGCTAATGCCAATCAAGGCTCTGATCCTGAAGCGGTCATAGCTGAATCTATATGAAGTCCTCTTGATTTAACGGGAAGGACAGCTTGCCATTTGCAAGTACACAATCCAGTGTTGTGATTTGAGGTCGACTGAATGTGTGCATTAGCAAATGAACAGGCACCAATGTCTCACTGCATAAATGGCCACATATGATTGCAAAACTGATACTTTTCTCCTAAACTGAGCCATTAGGTAGTCATGTGTCTGACCTTTTAATCCTAAGCATGCAGGAGATTAGTCTGATCACAAACCCTTATGGGTGGGAAGAAGCTAATGCTATTGTACACCAAGGTTCAGACATGGATGTACTGCTACTACATGAAAGGTATCATTCATGGAAACCAGACATTTCTGCTCTGATAAATTCCACCACTTAAAACCCAAAACCTCAATAAACATCCCTACCTTCCCACTTTGTTTCAATGACTTGTATGTAGTATCAAAGTGCTCTATGCCATAAAGCTATCTTTGCCCTTCACTAGAGATATTTTACTTACAGATTATCAACAGGAATTTAGGTTAATTTAATAGAAAAAATAAAATATGGAATAACATTGATTTTGGACAGTATCAATTATAACACAACTACTCTATTTTACAAATAATAACTGAACATTTTCCACACGTACAGTATTTTTTTCAGTAAAAATTAATTTGGATTTAACAATGTGTCAGTTTTTTAAAAGAAAACAGCTATCGCTTTCTTCCCTATAATAGCATTAGAGGCATTTGCAAGTATCCAAACAAATTCTTTATAGTCCATTACGCAATTCAATTTCAATTATGAATATATACCTATATATTTTATATCTATAATATTAAATTTTGAAAGCATTAAGTTCTAGTTAATAATGTCATATTGAGAAATGAGCCTCCTTACACATTACCAATGTTTTCTGATTTTTTAGCATATACATTACTGTTTTTTATGCAAGCCAAGAGGAATAGTATCTTTTGAATTTGTTCAAACAGGAACAATGGTAGGTTTTTTAAAAAGTTTATTTGAAATAGCTTTGACAATTTTTTAATTGTCAAATGAATTAAATTTTTTAAATTGCCAAATAAAATAAAAATGCCAGCATATCTGTTAATGAGCTAGCTGTCTAAAAACCAAATCTATATGACCCAAAAAACATTTTTGCAAAGCATATATACATACTTCATGTGATACAAAAAACAACATACAGTAGAGGAAGTAAGAAAGAAATGTGTTTAGAAATAATCTTTTGTTTGGTTTTAATATTGTTAAAAAAGGTGCAGAACTTAGTCTAACAATGTTTCCGATTCCTTTGGGGCCTCATTTCCTTAAGTTTCCCCCATCTCTATATATAGCACAAAAAAGACCGATGCAAACATTTTTGTGTTGTTTAGTTTTAATTCATGTAAACACGTGTTGCATTCTTGAAACACTCTTTAAACATCTTGAAGGGGAAACAAGTAGAAAAAAATGGAAGAAAAAGGATCTTCAAAAAACCCAGGAATAATCATACAGTTGACAGGAAATCAAATAACGAGTTAAACTGTAATTTTGGCATCAAATGCTTTGGTCACACAATACTGACTCTATGATCCTGGATGCTCAGCTCTAAACACCCAGTTAAAGGTAGGTGTGTTGTAGTTTTTCCATTCAAGTTCCAACAAACAGTTCACCATCTCCCCAGACAAAGAGGAGGGAGAGAGAGAGGTGGCTTGCTTCCCCCCCCATTTCTTTTTTTTAACCTTTTTCAATAATATGGATTAATCTATAAGTCTACAGGAGCAGGAGGACTCTGGGAGGTGTCAATTCACCCATTGTGTGTACATGTTCTGCAACACAGTTGCTGAAGCACTTTCCGCTGGCACAGATTGTTCTTTTTCACCAGCATACAGAATCCTCCCTCGGCCCAGGACTCTTCCGTGGCTTCCAGAAGGCAGCGATAAGAGAAGGAGGGGAAGTTGAAGATTTGGAGAGCATGTTGTGTACAATGGAGGAAGGTTTAATTGGTCAGACAGGCAGAATTGGTTGAAGAGACCATTCAGAAGTAGGAAATTTGGTCCATCAAAAGGAAATTCAGTCAACAGCATTTTTTTTCAGGAAGAAATATTGTGTGGTCCGACAGGGAATGATTGGCATCCATTTGTGAAAAGGAAAAATAGATTAGAAAGAGAATAATTAGAAAACAGTGATATTTACAGCAAAGGAGTTTTTTTTTCCCCTCAGTTTTTATGAAACAAAAGAATAAAACAGTCAAATCACAGAAAAAGAATAAAACATTCTCAACAGAAATGCAAATCCTATAGAATGAGTTAGGTGCGTAACCAATGCTTGATTATCAGGCAGTGAAATGAGACCCTCCACACCTGGTAACTTACAGAAAAAGACTTCTTTATTTTCCTTGGCTACCCTAGACTGTGGATAGCATGTGGTGGGATCCAGTATGGTGCACTACAATTGCCTTACAGCCCACATGCCAATGATCCCTTCCCATGGCAATTGCATAGGGAAGAGTGGGGGAAACAGCAGCAAGATGGAACATTCTTGGTCTTGGGCAACTACACATGTATCCAAAGTAAGCATACAGGCCCATGAGTTGAGAAATAATGCTAGGTCACACAATTTTGGTATAACCTTGGATACTGCAATAAAAATGTTCAGTGCACAGGATTTCCTCAATTCTGTTCAAGACTAAGTAGTTTTGTAAGACATCAATACATCATATTTCTGTGCATTTTGCTCTAATGCCACTTCATATCTGAATTCATATTCATCAACAGTATTTACACTGGGGGAAGAGCAGAGCATTTGTTTGCATGTGGCAAAAAAAAAGCACTATATAAAATGTCAAAGATAAAGGTGGGAATTTCAGGCCTACAAACTTCCTTCACTTGAACTCTTTCTGCTATACATAGACTACAAAAGTAACTTTCACCCTCAGTGATATTTCTTTCTGCAAACTCTCTGGAGTTGCTTGAGATTGTATGTTGTACTGGTTTTGGCTTGGATAGAGTTAATTTTCTTCATAGTAGCTTGTATGGGTCTATGTTTTGTATTTGTGAACCAAAACAGTGTTGATGATAACAGGGATGTTTTAACTATTGCTGAACAGTGCTTACACAGAGTCAAG